GTTCATTTTGCTAATAAAATTTTATTTCACCCCGTAAATTGTGTTAATGTAAAAGCCACCCAAATAGGCAAGTTACTACTAATAGAGTATAATTATGGGGTTATTTTGTAATTTGTAATATTCGGTTTTATTATAATTATATCTGGGAGGACTACCTATTGGTAAGCCACTTTATTATTATTTCACATGGTGTCAGACTGTCTAGGTTTTTCTCGTAAACCCTAGCCTACTCACTTACATCTTCCGCCGCACCATAGCATCTTCCGCCTCCACGATGGCGTCCACGTCCATGGTGTCTTCCGGTTCCATGAATTCTTCTGGCTCCAAGATTGCCTCTACATCAACATCCCCTGCCTTCAGCACTGTTATGCAGTCCTCTGCTGGGGTTAATTCATCCATTTTTGTGCGCCCCAATGTCTCCTCTGTGTCTGGGTTTCCGCCGCCATTCAGATGGACTCCATTCGCCGGCCGTTTTCCCTTCTTCTATAGCCTGAGGTTCAATGCATACATTGTTCTCTTCTCTGCCTCAGTTTGATGTTGCACCTCCTCTCAACCTACAGTTTGTCTCTTCATCAACTTCTTCTCAATTCAGGGGGCCCACCTTTGCAGGTTCTCAAGGTATTTTTACCATCATTCTCTCCAACCGCCCAACGAACCTATATTATGCCGTAACAAGCCTCCTCCATCTCTACTATTTCTCAAAAGCTGGGCTACTCTACACATAATGTTACTTCCACTGTAACTACAAAATTGTTGACTATTGAGGACTATCTTCCCTGGAGAACCCAGTTCGAGTCCTTCTTGGTCTCACAAGGATTGCTTGGGATCGTTGATGGCAGTCTACCCGCCCTGCTGTTGTACGTCATTGACTTATTTAACACCTAATCTATTCATCCTGATTATTATCATTGACTTTGTCTTGACCAAATAGTCCAGTCTTGGATTTTCGCTACCTTGTCCCGAGAAGTTCTCTTTGATGTCCATGATATCAAAAATTCAGCTCAAATTTAGGAACGTCTCCAGTCTCGGTTCGTGTCCGCTAGCTTGGCTCACTCCTTGGAACTCAAGAGGATGCTCTCTTATATAAAGAAAAAGCCAAATGTGACTATGGAAAATTATCTACGGGGAAATCAAGACCATTGCAGACTCGTTGGCGTCTATCAATTCTCCCATCTTTAATAAAGAACTTATTCAAACTACTATTTTGGGATTGGGTCCGGCATATGAATCACTGATCACGTCTATCTCTCTTTTTCCTGGTCAACGGACCTTTGACAATCTTGGCACCATTCTGGTTGAGCAAGAGAGCTAGCACGCCTATTTTTGCACTCAGGAGGCAGACTTTAGTCAGCTCGCTTTTGCTGCAGCTCATAGTACTGGAGGACATGGCCCATGTGGTGGGCATGGGCGTGGTGGTCGTGACAGGGGCCGATCGGCGCATTTTGGTCCCACGGGTGCGCAACATGGCACAAATAATGTGGGTCACTCAGGAGGTATTGTTGTATGTAATTCAGACATGCTATATTCTTATACTGCTTCCTCTTCTATGCATGGTACTCATATATCTCCTGCAGGTTCTCCATCAGGTAATGGTCTTTTAGGCTTCATCCCTTACCCAATTATGTGTCAAATTTGTTTCTCCTCGGGTCATTCTACTATATCACGTCCCTCTCGTTTTGTCTCATCCAATGTGCCAGCCCAGATTGTTCCCTCCGGTGAAACAAATGATGCTTTGTGGTATCCCGATTCGGGGGCTTCTGCTCATATGACCCCTGCAGCAGGAATTTTGTCAAATAAATCTCCTTACTCTAGCCCTGTTCAAGTCAAGGTTGTTAATGGCACAACTTTACCCATTGCTCATACTTGTGATATTGTATTAAATTCTTCCCATAACATACTTCATTTAAAATCTGTATTTCATGTTCCATCATTAAAATGTAATTTAATGTCTATTCAAAAGTTGTGCGCATGTAGTGTTGAATTTAATCATCATAATGTTTTTGTCAAGGACAAAACACGAGGAATGTTCTTCTTCAGGCGCCCAGTAGTGGAAGTGTTTACCCCATCTCCATTCCATCCTCATCTCCGGTAGCCTTAGTCAGCCCTGCCGTTCCAGCTCCTGTTTGGCATGGTCGTCTTGGTCATTGTAGTATTAGAATTTTTAATCTTGTTCAAAATAAGGCCATTGTTAGTGCCACCCCCCCCCCCCCCCACTTGTGTTTTTTGTCGTCTAGAAAAGTCTCATCGACTGCCATTTTCCGATATTACTCATACTTCTAGTGTTCCTTTATATTTAATTCATTCAGATGTTTGGCAATCGCCTATGACGTCTAATCAAGGTTTCAAATATTATGTTAATTTTGTGGATGAATTTTCTCTCTTTACTTGGGTATATTCTATGCGTCATAAATATGAGATATTTACTCACTTTTGTAATTTTAAAACTGCGGTGGAAAATCTTTTAAACACTAAAATTAAAATTTTTCAAAGTGATAGAGGGAGTGAACATGTAATTACTAATTTCACTATTTTTTGAATATGTATGACATTTATTTTCGCATGTCTTGTCCTCACAGTCCTCAACAAAGTGATGTTGCCGAACGTAAACACCGACATATCCTTGAGTTAGCACGTACCTGCTCCTGAAGTCGCATATTCCAGCCATTTTTTGGGTTGATGTTGTGCTAGTGTGCTGTGCTCACTTCGGTAATTATTATTAACAATTATTCACTCCCACCTTATTATGTAATAAATCTTCCTTTGAAAAATTATTTAACACCGTTCCTGATCTGTCTATTCTTCGTGTCTAGCTTTATCGTAATTTATGCTAAATGTAGAATGTGATGGTGTTTATGTATCTGTACGTACATACTAATTACACGTATGTTTTTAAATTTCGAAGTGCTTGAACTAGACATTTTATTTTTAGTATCCAATTACATTTCAATTTTGATATTTTCTTTATAAATGAACTTGATATCATTGTTTATTCTATTAAGTAATCACTTTTTAAGTTCGAATTTGACGTTTGAAGTAATTAGAACGTAACTTTGAATTTTTTACCATCAATCCATCATCATTACCCTGGGATAGGATAAGGAAGGGTCATATATACGCAGTCTTATCCTGTACTAAAGCACATTAACTGTTTTAGGGTGACTCATAGTGAAAATCACGTCCAAAATTGCATGGACTGAGTGTTATTTCATAATAAAGAAGTGCAGACACTTTAGTGAATCATCTTATTTATTTTATCATATTATCAATCCAAAAAATAGTGAATCTTTGATTTCATTACAAATGATGAAAATGAGGACCCTTTACCAATATTTGAAAAATTATACACCGCTTTTGTTATGAATATTTTGCTATGTTCATATGGCAAAAAGGGAACTAATCAACTATATGTTAATTGATGTGGAATTAAGAATTGTTTCGAAAATCGTTTAGTTCCAATAATTGTTGATTTCTAAAAGATACTCCGTACTAGATTTACCGATATGAAATAAACGGATACTACCTCCACCCGATTTTATGTCTCACTTTAATTTTGCACAATTATTAATAAAATGGTTGAAAAAGTAAAAGTTGTCGTTGAGATTTGAATATAATAAAGTGAAATACTATAGACCACATATTTATTTTCAAAAGAGAAAATGTGACACTTATTTTGAGATAACTCAAAACGGAAAGTGGAAGAGGTAAAATGGGAAGGAGGGAATAAAATAAGCTTGTAGTCAAAGCCTGAAAAAGGTTTGGAAGACACACTAGATAAGCCTAAACAAATAGCATCGACAAGAAATAATTGTTATGCTACTAAAAATGTTTTTAGTTCTAATTATTATTCTCTCTGAGCAGATCAGACCAAATCAGAGTTAAGTAAGTCACATCATACCAAATCAGACTTAAACATACGAGTAATAGATAAGATATGGACCACATGTATCAAATCAGACCGGTTGAGATTAATTAGACTAGACCAATGACTTCAATATACAAGACCAGAATAGAAAATGGTTAATTAAAAACATTTTAAGACACGACGCAGCCACTTAATAGACAAGCCAATATTAGAGTAGTAGATGTATTCAATGACAATAAACATGTTTTACAAAGTCGTACTTAATGACAAAATCAATAATACGTTCGACCTTGTACCTATTTTAAATTGGATGAAAATATGAAATGTACCCATCCATTTGGAAATCAGCACAGAATGGATAAAGAATAGTGAATGAAGTGTTTTAAAATAACTGAGACATTATTGGAAGTAGTCCCAAAAAGATTTGGTATATTGATCTTTTTGGTGAATGATGACAAATTTTGAATAAGGAATTTAATTATTATAATTATATACTCCCTTCGTTCCATAAAATAGTTTCACTTTCTTTTTTAGACTATTCCAAAAAATAGTTCTCGTTTCTCTTTTTGGATATTTTTGTATAACTACCATTCATTTATCTTTTTCTTACTCAATCACAATTATACATTTCCACCTTATTCTTAATTTCGATCTAAATCGGAGTACGTGAGAACTATTTTATACAGAGGTAATATAGTTTATAAATTTATACTTTTATGAAAATATTGGTAGTACAAATTTTTTTATTATAATTTTCATATTAATATAAAAATAGTCAATTTGACAAAACTTTTATGAAGGAAAAGTATAAATTTTCATGTCTAGGGTAATTATCTCTATACTATTAGGTCCCAGCCATAAGAATAAGAAATTCGATACCAAATGAACATGAGATATGGATGAGTCATATAATGGGCAGAGCTACAGGTGATTGTTTTACTTCCACCTGGCGTGCATCTTCCAACCACAGCACATATACGTGTTGAATAGGCAAAATTCAAATTATCTACACGGTATTTGTTAGGACTCATGTAACTTAATCCATCTTGACAGTTATTTGAAATAATAAGATAAAAATTTTATACTAAGCTTTGTGGAGAAAAAAAGACTATAAGAATCACATTTTTTTGAAGAAGGAGATTTATTTACTGATATCACAACATTAACATTCGGAAAGAGGTTAAAACAATATAGGAACCACAAACAACCGTCAGCTCTCGAACCAGACTTAGAGTTAATCACCTTCAAAAAAGCAATATAACTCGTTGATCTTATAATGGGCAAACCTGAGCCAAAGACGTTTTGAAGTAGACCTAACATCACCCAATCTTAATGCAAGAGTCTTACGATCAAAAATCAAAACAGCAAAATAGTAAACAGTCCGATTAAATAAAACAACAACTAAATAAGCAGAAAAATAAAAATTCTTCTCCAATTTTAAATGCACTGCCACAAGCCAACCAAACGATCCATCCATCATCTTCAAGTAATCCGGTTGATCTACTGGTCTAGACCTGCCTCCTCTCCGTTTTTGTGCTTATCAAGTGTCATCTCCTCTCCTACTGGATACTCTTGTTCCTTTTCCTCCCAGATTTTCCTATGCTTCTTCTCTCTCGGCATTTCTTCCGGACTCATTGAATTTCCTTCCTTGATAGAGCTAGTTCCAGCCCCTATAGTAGCCTCCTTCCAGCCCTGTCCTCCTGTGTCCTCACTATCACTCTTCTGCGGTACACCCATACCAGTACTAAAAGACCCTTCAACCAGCCGCTTGTTTCCTCCGGCAGGACTAGTCTTCACCCCACAAAACAAAAATTAGGGAGTTTTTCATACTTGAAATTCACCCATTAGCTAATACCCCCTTTCTCAACGTTCCTTTTTTAAGGGGTCTCCTAATATCCATACTAACCCTAATGCGCATATAAGCCTCCCATTTTTCATCAAACTGGTTTTCATGAGAATTAATAAAATTTCCAATATAGTTATCAATTCTCCTAGCAGATCCTAAATTCATAAAATCATACGCCACATCATGAACCTGAACCCAAAATTCAGCCACATTTAGGCTGATCTGTAGAGGAATATCCTCCGCCTTGATTTCTTTTAGGAGCAACAAGTTTCTCTCAAACAACCACAGACCTTCATCTAGCACATGTCTCATATCCAAATTAATGTAAAAAATAAAAATATACCCCTTTTCACCAATTTCCTTAACGACACACCTTTAACTGGTCTCCACATGTATGCCATTAGCTCCTTGAAAATCTGAAATTTGATCTTCTGATCTGTGAGTACCATACCAACCACCGGGAAGACCACCTTCCCTTCACTCGTCGTCTGCTCTCCATCTTCATCATAGTCGAAAATCAACTCTTCGTTATCCTCGCCAAATAGTCATCCGCTTGTATTGGTTTACTATATCTTCCATCGAAGTAAAGCTCCTCCTCTGCTTCCCAGGACCCCCACACCTTCACTACCGCCTGCGGAAAACCCGTGCTTTGCCCTGCAACTCGGAAATGTGCTTCCAGCCGTTGAAAAAGGAAGCCACACTCCTCACCTCAGCCAACTCGCACACCTAACCGACAACGGTCCATCGAAAACAACGACCACTCTTCGGGGGACCGATAGTGGAGAGAACAAAACCCTAGCGACAAGGAGCCCTGGAGTAAGAATTTTTAATAAGAATCACATTTAATTAACTTAAAATGAAAAGTGATTGAGTTATTAGAAATACTAAAATGAAATTGTTTAGAGCCCATTTGGTAATACCCAAATTGATAGTACTCGTTGATTATCCTGAAATTTATGAAGTTCTGATGATTTATGAAAAAAAATTATATTTAAAATATACGAAGTATAAAATAAAGAAAAAATTATATGAAAAACCATTTAAAATTATTCGTTACAGTAACATCAATCAATACAAACATAGAATAACTCGAACTATTTTTTATTATTACAAAATTTAGCGCGCAAAATCAATCGAAAAACAGAATCACGAAACATGCTTTAAAAAAGGATGACACCCCATCCCTGAGGGGCCCCCAACCTCGACCGGACGGTACGTTGGGAGGATGTAAATTGGACCATAATCCCAATCTGACAGATAGAGAGTGAGGCTCTGTCCCCGATACTTGCAGAGGCCCTATGCATTTTAGCATAATAACCCCTTATCGCAGTTGCCGGGATTCCAACCCGGAACCTAACCCTTGTGGCACTCCCTTACTACCAGTTGAGCTACGCTCACCCGTACGAAACATGCTTTAAGATATCACGGACGGAGGAGGCCGGGGTATGAGAAAAATGAATTGTACGAGTACAAGTTTTAGCTAACACTTTCTATAAAAGTCAAGAATTTCGAAACTACAATAAAGTTCTATTGAATTTCAGGAAACGAATTCAATAAACATGTGACAAGTAATTTTGTTAATGGTATGAATAGTATCTAGTGAAAAACATGGAGTACAAGTACGTAAACATCAATTTTCCCACCTAACCTGGATGCCTTTTGTAAATCGTAAGTTTTATTTTCCGTGTTTTATACTCCCCATTAAGAGGAGCGGATTTTAAAGGCCATCATCATATCATATCTAGGCCGGTCTTGATGATGTTTTATTGGCGATTTATACATGTGATGTTGATATTTGTGGTCACTAGATCTTGAAAGCATTGTTTATCGGGTCGTGTTATGTACTTACTCTTACAAATCTCCATTCATCATCTTAAAATAAACGATTTTTCGATTACACGTCATTATCGCATCACATTTATTCAATAAATCTCAAATAATTTCAAATAATCTCAAGTTTTAAAACTCTTCATTGATCAACCATGATACTCAAATAATTAGATATTCTAGATCATGCATTAAATCCATTTTAACTACAATCTAAAATAATTCGAGATTCAATCTTGATATTGGATTTTTTTTTCTCCAATAATCTTTTTAAATAATCTCTCACTCACAATGATGATTTATAAATAATCTTACACATCATCCAATTAAACTTTAAATAATCTCATGGATAAAGATGCCCTTATACTCACACTTATATTGAGCTTATATTCATTAATGTGACGGTTTTTTTATTTGTGTATCACATTCATAAACCAAATAAGATATATTTTGTCGAATGACATTCACAGAAAAAAACTTGTCACATCAATGAATCAATAAAAAATAGGAATGAATAATAAGTATACAAATGAGTATAAAGATAAGTACAAATATCATTTTTCATTGTTTATTATGGAAAATAGGAATATTGAATGATGATAAATAGATGCTTTAAATCTTTGATGAATAAGTGTTGAATTGACCGTTTGCTTCCCTAATTAAGAAATGGCTAACATGAATACAAATACTACGTAATACAATGAATTGTGTTTTGTGAGACCCGCTAATTTGCGGTTTTAAATAATGTATAATTGATCCGTTAAACAGTGTCAAACTCCTTAATATTTGTGAAGTCAAAGTGTAAAGATCTTTTAGAATCGGAGGATGTATAATTTTTCTTATTTTAACCATTACATAATTTATCGTGCGATAGTTAGAATTACGTGATTAATAAAAAGATTAATTGATAAAGCTGATAAATTAAAAATTAGGATTACTTCATTATATTTCTAGTGAATCGATACGATTATTTATCATCATTATAGTTGGATCATTCATTCATTCACCACCATGCTTATCAACCAAACACGGCGTAGTTGTAATCCAATAAAAGCACAGCCTAACTTATAAGATACGGAGTATTGTAACTTGAAAGTCAAAAAGATTTTTTTTACATGAAGTCAATTGACTCTTTATAAAGATGTAGATGACTGACTCTCTTGTATTGATCGAGCTAGTTTTACCTCTCTTCTTTCCTTCTCTCGATTGCTCACTACGTTCAACTTTTATTTACTCGATATTCCCTCCGTCCCGAATTGAATTACTAACTTTGATCAGCACATGGATTAAGGAATTGCAATAAATGATGCTTGCTTTTTACACTTTTGCTCATCTTCCTAAAAGTAGATACTTTTAAGTTAATGGAAAAAAGTAAAAATAAGGGTAAATTTGTCACTTTATTCTTATTTACATACCTAAAATAAAAAGTGAAAAACCATTTTGGGACAACCAAAATAGAAAATTTTGCAAATTAAATTGGGATGGAGGGAGTAATAGTTACCATACATGTATATACAACTTGTTTGGTAATACTTAAATAAGCTGAACCACATAATTCTGTTAAAATTCATGAAACTCGTATTGAAGTGGTTGGAGTGACTGATTATGTTGATTTATAAAATAAATTTTATTGATAAAAATAACTAAAATGATTTTATAGAGTAAATTCAGAAAAATAACTTTAATCTTACTTTTTTTATAACACAATTTTGTACGTGAAATCAACGATTACGTGTTTGATGAAAAAGTTGACTGATATACCTGATAAGCAAAAAACATGATCACCAAACGGGCTCATAATAAATAGTCAATTCCATGATACTTTTCATTTTCTTAAACTATTCATATTATCTTTAAGAAAAACTATTCATATCTCAAGTATGTGCCTCCTCATAATATACAAATTTACGTCTTTCCGATGTGGGACAGTTAACACGCCCCCTCAGCCTGAACCAGGATAGACAATATCGGGTGTATAAATGGGCCAAATAAACCCTTAATAAGTTACCTTTAATCATGAGTGATAAAAGAGCAGGCAAACCACAGCCAGACTTGACTATGATACCATATTAAAATATGGGGTACCATCCTAAAATATTAACCCGATAGAATGCGCAGTCCAAAGTTTTATGTATGTAGTGTATAATGATTTTATAGCTTTCCGGTATGAGACAATTACTTAAACACTCTATCACCCATAATTTAAAAAATTGCTCAAACTCTTTCATTATATATAGAGAGATGGAGGTTCAAATACAAAGTACAACCCATGTGAATAATGAGAAATAATCTTAGCCATTACAATGAGCAAATAAATAGATCCCATCATGTGCACATTTTGACTTACTCAAACCAAGGCAATATAAATAATTGCGGTGGCATTTTGGTAAATACTGCCTCCGTTCCACTGGACTTTGCCAACTTTCCTTTTTTGTTTGTCCCAAAAAAATTTGTCACTTTCCTTTTAAAGCAATGTTTTTGTGGCTCTGTTCATTTTTCTTTCCTCTGCACAAACCTCAACCACACAAATTTTACTATTCTAATTTTCCACCTAATATCAACTTGGCAACACTAGTAGAAAACTGACTTACAGTGACACTTTTATAGTGACACTTTGTGAGTTGATACCACTAGTAACATAAAAGTGTCACTATTTTCTATCAACATCCCTTAGTGACACTCTACATTTTTACGGGTATAATTTAACGCGCTTAACTATTTGGGCTGCTGGCCTGCATACGGAGTAACAAGACTTCAAGTTTTTCTCTCTCCCTCTCAGACTTCTCCGACTTAGTTTACATCTGCTCGCTATTCTCCTTCTTTCTATATGAGCCGTACCTCTTCAATCGATGAAGAGACCCGTCACAGTATGAAGACTATGTCGCTGCTGCTCCCCACGACTTCAACGAAGACGCCATCGCCGCTACAAGTTTTTTAGCCCTAAATCTATCGCTTCGGACAGTGTTCCGAAAATATAAGGAATCACCGATCTGCCTCAGTGACAAGAGAATGAGAAGCGCACCAGAGGGTTTTCCTCAGCAACAATAGGAATTGCCGATCTGCAGGTGACACTCTTGATGGCGGCCAAGGAGAGGTCACGCTGTTTGGTAAGCCCAATCTCATTGGAACTACAAAACCCCATCTCACATTTCATTTACCGATTCTGTGTGGCATTTGATTCCATTTTAGGTCTTTGATATCCCCTAATGAATTCTTGGTTATGAATATGAAAATAGGGGCCATCAACTCCGTAACTTGAACATGAACTACAAAACCCTATCGCATTTTGTCTCTATCATCTACTCCGTAACTTCCTTCAAAGTTTCTCACTTGTGAATAGAGGGGCAGCTCAATTATTCTATTTAGGCCTCCCACGCTTAGAAGTAGTTCCTCGAGGGAGAGAGAAGTCAAAGTTGAGCGACGGAGTTTCAGTGTTCTGATCTTCCTAACTCATCGCCTTCTCCTCTTTCAGCACAATGAAGAACAGTCCCATGTCTGGAAACTGACATCTTCTTTAGTGAATAATGCATAAATAAATAACAATGTAAGTAGCATATGGGTGAATGTAAACATTTTGTTTGATATTTGATTATTTTCAGGGAGCTGTAAATTTTGATCTCATGATGTCACCTTGTGAGTGAAGGAAGCCAAGATGTTCATGTGCACAATGCACTTGGAAAAATAATAATAGATAGCAACAATAACCCAGAACACTTCTTGACAACCAACCCGTATTATGACTCGCGTATTGTGGGTAAGTATTGTGAGAAGCGTGATCCTACACTTGCTGTGGTTGCGTACAGGAGAGGACAGTGTGATGTTGAGCTTATCAACGTAACAAAAAAGAACTCATTGTTCAAACTTCAGGCCAGGTATGCATTGGCTTATTGATTTACTTACCAGTATCAACACTCACAGTTTTATCAAGCCATTGGTAGGCATTTAGGCTCTCAAACGTTACATTTTTGGACATTTCCTTTCCAGAA